TCACCAAGTCAAAAAGAGAGGGTAAGTCACCTAGCAGGAACACAGACCACAATAAATAATAAAAATTCAGGCAGTAGATGAAAGGTGTGGGGTGTTGGATCTTCTAATCAGTAGGTCTTAAGCAGTGCAGAGGGACTGATTACCCATAGGCAGCTCTCCCAGCAGGCCTAAATGGCATATGGAGAGATCATGCTAGTTAGTGGTCAGAATACCTCCAATTGTATCAGTCCAGAGAATGCTTTAACAGCATACCAAGCCCTGATCAAGGGGGGGTCCCTTTGAACCCCGGAAATGCAAGCTTTTTATGATACAAGAGTCTGAATAGAAATAGGTGTATCTATGCCCAAAGCTTCTCCCTTTCTGTTTTAGAGACAACCTTTTTTGGTTCAATAATTTGTCATTTCGATGTGTTTATTGCATTTTCAAGGTTAAAACACTTCATGTCCGGACACTTTTACCCCCTTCCTGTCTAGGGCAATTTTCAGCTTTCAGCGCTATCACACTTTGAATGACAATTGCGCGGTCATGCAACACTGTACCCATATGATTATTTTAGCATTCTTTTGAGACAGATAAAACTTTATTTTGGTGGTATTTATTCACCACTGGGATTTTTATTCTTTTTGCTATATAAATGAAAATGTCCAAAAAAATTTGAAAAAAAGTTTTTTTCTTATAACATTTTGCAAATAAATAATCTTTCTTCATAAATCTTGGCCAAAATGTATTCAGTTATCTTTTTAGTAAAAAAAAAAAAATACCCCAAATTAGTTTATAACCACAAATTATACATTTTTCAAAAACATTTTTTTTTCCATTTTAATTTTATTTTTTTATGTTTTTTTTTTTTTTTACATACTGTCACCCTAGCAGTACAGTGTCACCATAGAGACACTGTACTACTTGGGGGTGATGAAGATTTTGTTTTTTTTTTTTACACTGATTGCTTTTACACCCATAAAGGCTGTAAAAGCAATCATTTCTATTTCTCTCTGGCTGCAGACATTGAGAACTACTGTGAGAGCTGTGATTGGTCACAGCTTGTCACATGGTACAAGGCTGTTGTGAATAGCCTTGTACCATGTGACCTCTGTGATCATTCACAGATTTCACACGTAGTAAGCAATGATGTCAGAAGTGACATCTTGCTTACACCTATTCATGTGAACCTTTTTCCACTAGAGAATATACCGTATTGAGTTTATGAGAGGTTCAATACATTTTATTGTAATTTCGCAAAGCAGTGAGGACAACCTTTAAACAAACAGAAGTAAAATCAGCACCAAGGAAGTAAAAAACAAAAAAACCTGACAGAGATACCTGTCCTGGGGATAACCTTTTCATCAGACAGAAAGTGAAAGCAGACCTTTACTCTAAAATACAAATTTCTACCATTCCAACCTTATTTCCCCTCCTTAATTGGTACTGGGTAACAAATTGAGTACATTGAGCAACTTGATGAGTTTTGTATATCATACGTCTGTGTCCTTGCCTTTTTGGTTCACACTAGTGCGATTTCAGATGTGACTTGAGTCGCACAGAATCAAATGACAAGGGAAATTACAATGTTTTCAATGGTGTCTGTTCACATCAACGACACGGAGCCCATAGAACATACAAACCTTATCAAAGTTGCACAATTGCAGTGAAAGTCATATCAAAAATCTATCGAGCAGTGCGAACCTAGCCTAAGGGCTGAAAAAGAATATACCCTTGCCTGCAACTTATTGTCTATTTCATCAAGACTTTCCTCCAGTTGTATCTCATCTATTACTATTCTCAGAATCTGTGTGAATTTACTCCGACGGATAGATTTAACCACCCTCCCGTCCGGCCCATGTACATAAACCGCCGGGCGGTGGCAGTGCAGGGTCGGGTGGCCGTTTATAAATGACCTCCCCACCCCCTGCTTGTGCCTGCTCCCTGGGAGTGCGTAGCACCGCAATCCGGTGCCCGCTGTGTCCTTCGGACACAGTGGAACACCGATCGTCGTACGGGACCTCTCTGCGAGGTCCCGATCATGTGATCACTGATTGGCCAATCAGTGATCACATGCAGAGTAGTAAGCAAGATGTCACTTCTTACATCATTGTTTACTACGTGTGAAATCTGTGAATGATCACAGAGATCACATGGTACAAGGCTATTCACAACAGCCTTCTACCATGTGACAAGCTGTGACCAATCACAGCTCACACAGTAGTTCTCAATGGCTGCAAGAATGCAGCCAGAGAGAAGGAGAAATGATTGCTTTTACAGCTTTTATGGGTGTAAAAGCAATCAGTGTAAAAAAAAAAAAAAAAAAAAAAAAAAAAAATCTTCCATCGCCCCCGACAAGTAGTACAGTGTCACTATACTGCTAGGGTGACAGTATGTAAAAAAAACATAAATAATATAAATAAAATAAAAATGTAAACAAAATGATTAACAATTATAATTTTTGCCTATAAACTAATTTGGGGTTTTTATTTACTGAAAAGTTAACAGAATAAATTTTGGCAAAGATTTATGATGAAATATTATTTATTTGCAAAATTGTATAAGAAAAACAGTTTTCTGCAATTTTTTTGGACATTTTATTTACATAGCAAAAAAAAATAAAAATCCCAGTTGTGAATAAATACCACCAAAATGAAGCTTTATCTGTGTCAGAAAAATGCTAAAAAATTCATATGGCTACAGTGTTGCATGACTGCTCAATTTTCATTCAAAGTGTGATAGCGCTGAAAGCTGAAATTGGCCTGGACAGTAAGGGGGTAAAAGTGTCCGGACTGGAAGTGGTTAAATAGCCCAGTAGGTGAAAGCTAGAAAAATGAAGTAATTGGTTCCTATCAATTGGTTTGACATATAAATCACTCATCATCATCTACTATCACTCACTGAGATTCACGTGTCCAAAAGAGTATAAAACATGTCCAAATATTGTCAATGAAGCAATTCCAACAAACTCAATGATTCTGAATTAAAACATTACTATAGATGTATGAGTTCCCTATCATATTCATAAATTAATTTGCGCATGGGGGGGCGTGACATTTTAGCCCATAGACGTACCACTTGTAAATATCACTGATCCTTGATAAGAAAGTAGTTATTCTGTAATACCAAATGTAAAAGATTATAAAAGAAAAATTCAATTTCAGATGCAGTATACATCTTGGAGTCCTCAAGTGCAAGGTATGTTTGAAACTGTTGCTATCACTTTGTATCCTGCTTGAGAAGCAATAAAGTGTATTAGTGTGCCGCAACCATCCATACATTCCTGCAAAATATCTGTGATCATGAGCTATACCTGTGACTGGTCGTAATCTGCGTAATACGGTTGATGGTCTCTTCATGTCAGCCAGGAACTTGTAGAGATCTTCATCACTCATTCGATCCCCTTCCTGTAGAAGACATTGAGAGAGTCACCCAAATGAACAGCTAAAAGAAGAAGTGCGTTACTTCCTACCCACCAACAAAACTGAAAACTGCACTGGAAAAGGACAAGTGGAGTAAAATGCTTTGGCCTGCTAGGATTTTTGTACTCACTGTAAAATCTATGTCTTGGAAACCATTGAAGGACTTCGAAATGGACAGTGAAGAACCAAATAGCTGTAGAACAGTCCAGTCAAGTCCTCCCACTACGAGCATGCCCCCCCCCAAAGGGCACAGTTTACAAAGCTTCAGTTATGAATGAATGCTGGTAAATGTGAAATTTTCTGAACCCTTCTCCATCATGAAGGTCCCTATTGTGTGCAGCTGCTGGTGGGAAGGAGAGGAGGGAAGCCAGCAGCACTGCAGGGGTTGGGGCACACAGTGGGGCCAGGGAAGCAGGGGGAAATGTATGGTGCACAGGGAGGGTGATAGGTGCGGCGGAGGGGCAATTACTGGAACTGATCCCCTGTATGTCTCCATCTGCAGCAGCTTAAAGCCATCAGGAGGGAGAGGAGAAGAAGACAGCTTTCGGGGATCGGTTCCATTAACTGCTGCCCCGTCGTGCCGATCACCCTCCCTGGCCAAATCTGATTTACCCAGCTGTACATGAAGACTGGTGGTACCCCCTTATCAACAGCCCTGATCCTAGACACCAAGGGGTGGGACCCGTGGCCCTCAGTGGGCCCCACAACAACAGAAATTGCTTTGTAGAAGTCTGGGGTAAATAAGACTACCTCTGAAACCAGAGTGTTTAAAGTTTCTCCTGTGGAAGAAAAACTCGGCCTGAACTGTGTCCAAGACTGGATATTCCAAACGATGAGTCAATTCTAACAATAATTTCTGAAGTTTCAGGATTCATCCAAACTGCTTTAACATTTGGATGGTCAACTTCACGTTGTCTGATAAAGTCTGCTCCAAAAGTACCAGGAGGTTGTGTACGTATCCCACAATTGATATGCCAAGAGAAAGCAGCAGGGTTATGGTTATTACAGGTGCCAGCACCTTAGTGAGCACCTGAGTGTAGATGAGTGGTTGAAGGGCAAAGCCAGAAACTGGTTGTGCAGGAGCCCCATGGCAAAGCATACAACGATGTGCTAGAAACATGAATACATGCAAATAAGCATCTTTAGTGTTAGCAGAAGCCAGAAATTCTTCCGTGGCAGATTTTGTGGATTCCATGTGGAATTTCCTGGACTTGAATAAAAATGTTTAGAGCTTTGAGTTCCACAATGGGGTGAATGCCTCCTAAAGCCTGAGGACATTGAACAGGTTGGATTTCAAATCCCCACCGCTTTTTTCCCTCTCCTTTCAGCGATGATAGTTTGGGCTAGATGGCATCGGATTGGTCAGCAGCTATTCTTTGTGGTGCAATTTGTGCCCATTAACACAAATCGCACCACAAAGTATCGGTACTCGGTATCGGCACACGTACTCGCCGATAATAAATGGTATCGGTGCATTCCTAGTTTTAACCTCTTCCCAGCTTAATTTTAGCATACAACTGGTTTCAGCTCCCACACAGATCTCACCTGTTTAAAGAAGTTGGTGACAGTGAGAGTCGCTGGTCGGAAAGAGCTAAACCCGCAAACTTCGTCCCCGACACTGAGCCGCTCGAAGGCTTTCCTCTTCCTCTCGTTCCATGTGCCCTTTCGTTCTGTGCAAGCCAAAGGGAGAAACAGACTGCCGTTACCATTGGAGTCACAGACGCATAAGCAATCATTACGCTTTACTGCTACACACAGCCAGGTCTTAGGTAATGGATTGGACCAAGCAGAAAAAGCCCTAAACAGACTACTGCCTGGCTTTCTAATCCAGAGCTATAGTGGGATCAAGTACTGCCGGCCTTGTGGCCAGAACCTTTCACCATTTTATTGAAATCATGTCCATATCAGTAGAAAAGACAGATCACATGAATAATCTTTTAGTCAAAACATGATCCATAATGGATCATTGCCAAAAATATAAAGTTCTGCTCAAAAGTTTGCATACCCTGGCAGAAATTGTGAAATGTTGCCATCGATATTGAAAATATGACTGATCGTACCAAAAAAAGTCTTTTAAGGTTAGTGATCCTATGAAGCCATTTATTATCATAGTTGTTTGGTTCTTTTTTAAATCGTAATGATAAAAGAAGTCATCCAAATGGCCCCGATCAAAAGTTACCATCCCCTGGAATGTTTGGCCTTCGTACAGACACACAAGTTAAAATGGATATAAAAGGTTAATTTCCCACATCTGTGGCTTTTTAAATTGCAATTAGTGTCTGTGTATAAATAGTCAATGAGTTTGTTAGCTCTAACTTGAATGAAAGGCTAGACGCTGACCCATGAGATGCAGAAGAGAACTGTCAAAAGACCTGCGTAACAAGGTAATGGAACTTTATAAAGATGGAAAAGGATATAAAAGATATCCAAAGCTTTGAATATGCCAGTCAGTACTGTTCAATCACTTGTTAAAAAAGGGGAAAATTAGGGGATCTCTTGATACCAACCCAAGGTCAGGTAGACCAAGAAATATTGCAGCCACAACTGTGAGAAGAATTGTTTGGGATGCAAAGAAAAAACCACAAGTAACCTCAGGAGAAATACAGACTGCTCTGAAAAAAGACAGTGTGGTTGTTTCAAGGAGCACAACACGATACTTGAACAAAAATTAGCTGTATGGTCGAGTTGACAGAAAGGAGCCTTTACTGCGCCAATGCCACGAAAATCTCCGATTACAATATGCCCGACAACACCTTGTCACGCCTCACAGCTTCTGGCACACTTTAATCTGGAGTGATGAGATCAAAATAGAGCTTTATGGTCAAGCCATAAGCGCTATATCTGGAGAGGGGTCAACAAGGACTATAGAGACAAGAATACCATCCCGACTGTGAAGCATGGTGGTGGCTCACTGACGTTTTTAGGGAGTGTGAGCTGGGGACTGTGCATGGGGAATCTTGTGAAAACCGATGGCAAGATCATTGCAGCATGTTATCAGAAAATACTGGCAGACAATCTATCTTTTGCACGAAAGCTGCGCATGGGGCGCTCTTGGACTTTTCATGATGACCCACGAGGCCTCCAGTGGTTTTAGCAGAAAAAGGTGAAGGTTCTAAAGTGGTCATCACAGTCTGCTGACCTTAATATCATCGAGCCACTCTGGGTAGATCTCAAACCTGTGGTTCATGCAAGACGACCAAAGACTTTGCATGACCCGGAGGTATTTTGCCAAGATGAATGGGCAGCTATGCCACCTGCAGACATCCAGAGCCTCATAGATAACTATTACAAAAGACTGCATGCTATCATTAATGCTAAAGGGGGCAATACACAGGATTAAGCACTAAGGGTATGCAGACTTTTGAACAGGTGGCATTTCACTGGTTTACTTGTTGGCATGTCTTGTTTTATTGCGCCATTCTGTGATCACCTACAGTTGAATATGAATCCCATAAAAAAATGAAAGAAACATGTTTTGTCTGCTCACTCATGTTTTTCTTTAAAAATGGTACATCTTGTCTGGTACCAATTATGCAAGGGTATGCAAACTTTTGAGCACGACTGTACATTCAGTTGTTCAGTTCTGCCTATATGTAACCCTAAAACCAGCCTATAATAATGCATACGCCTATAGTTTCAAGTTGTCCTATTAGTTGTATATATAGTTGCAATATATAAATTTATTGCTTGCAAATAACTGAGTCACATGCATAAAACTAGTAAATATTACTATTATTATTATACAGGATTTATATGGCGCCAACAGTTTGCTCAGCGCTTTACAATATAATGGGAGACAATACAGCAACAATACAGTTCAATACAAGAGGGATAGGAGGGCCTGATCCTTGGAGCTTACAATCTAAACTAATCTTTATACTATCAGCCTTAACAACAAGGATATTAAATGATCTCTGATCTCTGCTACAATGCTGACCTAGCAAAGTGAGTAGATCTTAAAGCAAAATTAAAACTCTGCATTTTTTAAAATGCCCCCCCGGAGCTGTTAGCCATAATGTTCTAGCATTCAAAGCATATCAGTACATTATAGCAGATGTACCTGGCAAGTGATTCACTCCAGCGCCGTGCTATCAGTGCTCCCATTGGTCATGAGTGCTTCCATCCTCTCCCTGTGCTCCTTCCAGGTTCAGACTGTTTGACCGCTTAATTGGCCAAGCCACGATGATGTCACTCCCATGCATGGGGGTCACACCATCAAGGCACAGAGCGGTGTCGTAAATGTATTCTGAGCTGATATGCACAGCTTAGTGTGTACAGAGTAATGCTGGTAGGCAGGGGAGAAGCAGTCATGGCAAAAGGGACCAATTAGGATTTTTATTTAAGGAAAACAACAATTTATCAGCATTTTTTGTTTTTTTGTTAGGTTCAATCTGATGGGGGAAAAAATTAGCCAGGGTCCAAACACATTGCAGTTGTTTGCACTCAATTAGGGCCTGTGCCAATAGGCTTTGGAGATGTGTTGGTGGGAACATGCAGCTGGCTTTTGCATCAGTTTGAGAAAATTCAGAATTCACTGACAGCTGCATTCGGATTTCCTTCCGACATGCATTTGATCTGCTTTGAAGCTGCTTTTGCATTCTCAGAAACTTGCAGTTCAGAGGACTGTGGAAACTGGCCCTTACCTTCATGCTGTGTTAGGGCAGAACACAGAAGACCCGTGGGAGTGCCTCTGATACATGAATTACCTTGAGTTGAAGAACTGGATGAATACTTGGGAGTGATGCGGTATCTTTTATGTTTTAAAGGAGGTGCTGATAAACTGAACTTTACCGTAAACTGATAAAATAATTTCAACACACATTGTGGAACAGAAACCTTCTTACGGTTGTCAAAATTGTCAAATTCTTAGTAGGAGTCAGTGATCCTCCCTTATTAAAGGGCAGGGAACGTCATCAGATGTTATTGTATAAAAACTATTGTTTTCTTTGCAGAAATCTAGGACCAATCTGAGAAATGCTTGCATCAGGCAGCGTAGGGGCTCCCTTGCAACTGATAATAAATGTATCAGTGGAAAACCCCTGAAGCTTTTTGTTTTAGAACAAAACCCTTTTCCACAGAGAAAAGGGGAACAATGTTTTTACAATTTACATGGCCTGAGTCAGAGATGATTGAGTTGACTGAGGTGTTCAGATGATTTGTTGGTGCTCACAACAATAACAGATAAATATCACATATAAAACCTTTTTATTTTCATAAATGCATCATCTACATTAGGGGTCCTCAAACTACGGCCCGCCGAGGACATTTATCCGGCCCCCCCGGGTGTTTTGTAATATTTGTCATCCCCCTGCGTACGTTCAGGGCGGCATCCCCTGCGTACTTTCACTTTCAATCCACCAGCACCGCCGCGCTTGACTGGCTCTGCCTCTCCCTCCCTCACCTGCCCCTTGGCCCCGCCTCTGTTCCACCCCCAGTGATATTCCTGTGTGCTGGGGATGTAGATCCGGCCGGCGTGGCGAGTAAATGATAGAGGGGTGGTGTCTGTGATCTCTGGAGGGGCTGCCTGCAGTTCTCCCGCGCTGGGCAGTGACAGACAGCCAAGGAGAAGGACACTGATCAGACTGCATTGATGGACACTGGTGAGGCTGCATTGATGGGCACTGATCAGACTGCATTGATGGGCACTAGTGAGGCTGCATTGATGGGCACTGATCAGACTGCATTGATGGACACTGGTGAGGCTGCATTGATGGGCACTGATCAGACTGCATTGATGGGCACTGGTGAGGCTGCATTGCTGGGCACTGGTGAGGCTGCATTAATGGACACTGATCATACTGCATTGATGAACACTGATCAGACTGCATTGATGGGCACTGGTGAGGCTGCATTGATGGGCACTAATCAGACTGCATTGATGGGCACTGATCAGACTGCATTGATGGGCACTGGTGAGGCTGCATTGATGGGCACTGGTGGGGCTGCACTGATGGGCACTGGTGAGGCTGCACTGATGGGCACTGGTGAGGCTGCACTGATGGGCACTGGTGAGGCTGCACTGATGGGCACTGGTGAGGCTGCACTGATGGGCACTGGTGAGGCTGCACTGATGGGCACTGGTGAGGCTGCACTGATGGGCACTGGTGAGGCTGCACTGATGGGCACTGGTGAGGCTGCACTGATGGGCACTGGTGAGGCTGCACTGATGGGCACTGGTGAGGCTGCACTGATGGGCACTGGTGAGGCTGCACTGATGGGCACTGGTGAGGCTGCATTGTTGGGCACTGGTGAGGCTGCATTGTTGGGCACTGGTGAGGCTGCATTGTTGGGCACTGGTGAGGCTGCATTGTTGGGCACTGGTGAGGCTGCATTAATGGACACTGATCATACTGCATTGATGAGGCTGCATTGATGGACACTGATCAGACTGCATTGCTGGGCACTGGTGAGGCTGCATTGATAGGCACTGATCAGTCTGCACTGATGGGCACTGGTGAGGCTGCATTGATGGGCACTGGTGAGGCTGCATTGATGGGCACTGGTGAGGCTGCATTGTTGGGCACTGGTGAGGCTGCATTGTTGGGCACTGGTGAGGCTGCATTGTTGGGCATAGGTGAGGCTGCATTGTTGGGCACTGGTGAGGCTGCATTGTTGGGCACTGATCAGGCTGCATTGTTGTGCACTGGTGAGGCTGCATTGATGGGCACTG